AACAACAACAGCAGCATCAACAACAACACCAACAGCAACAACAACAACAACAGCAGCAGCAGCAGCAGCAACAACAGCAGCAGCAGCAGCAGCAGCAGCAGGCCCTGTCCCAGTGCAGCATGGGTAATGGCTTTTCCTCCACCCCCATGATCATGGAGATCCCTGAGAGTGGCGGTGGAGGGGGGGGCCGCACCCTGTATGAGCGCATGGGTCAGGACTTTGGCACGGGGGGCTACCCTCAGCCCTCCGCTACCTTCAGCCTGGCCAAACTCCAACAGCTCACCAACACCATCATGGACCCCCACGCCATGCCCTACTCTCATTCGGCCTCCGTCACCTCCTACGCCACCAGCGTGTCCCTCTCCAACCCCGGGCTGGCCCCGTCCCCCCACGCCCCGCTCTCTCAGGGCCAGCCCACCATGACGCCCCCCCCTAACCTCAGCTCCGGCTCCATGAACCTGGGCTCGCTACAGCTTCAATGCAACATGCCCAGCGCCAACCTGGGTCTGGGGCCCCCGCCTCACACGCAGCGGCTTCAGGGCCAGATGGCGACGGTCAAGGGCCACATCTCCATCCGTTCCAAAGCCACGCAGCAGCTAGCCCCCGCCCCGCACCAGCAGCAGCTGTATGGCCGCAGCTCGGGGGCCGTGGCCATGCAGGGTGGCCCCCGCACCCTGGCTGTTCAGCGCGGCATGATGCCCAACCTCATGCCCACGCCGGCACCCTACAACTCCATGAACATGCCGCTGAACGCCATGTCGGCCGGGTACCGGATGCCCCAGCCCATGATGAACAGCGGCTACCACGGCAACCCCCCTTACATGAACCAGCCGGCGCAGTACCCCATGCAGATGCAGATGGGCATGATGGGTGGGCAGGGATACCCCCAGCAGCCCATGCAGCCCAATCACCACGGCAACATGATGTACACAGGCCCCACCCATCACAGCTATGCCGGTGTACCCAAACAGTCGCCGTACATGAGCAGATGAGCAGCAGAGACGAGGGAAAATGATACTCGCTGAACTCTAAATGTCCACATTTCTCCTGTTACCCTCTCCGGGGCTGCGGCAGGCGCCGGGGGGGCGGAAGTGACGGAGACAAAGAGGGTCTATGGGTTTCCTGTTTTTCGACGTTGTCATTTTGTCCATTTTCATTTGGGCTCCCCTCCCCCTCCTAGCAAGCAAGTGGCTGGGGCTCCCGGTTTAGCGGGTTGTGTGAACATGGACCTTCTGCTGCAGGCCCACACACTCCTTCGTCATGTGATCTTAACACAGGCCCGGGAGAGCGGCGGGACAGGAGGTAACACGGAGAAAGACAATACAGGAGAACCTCGCCTCTTCAGACTGCGAATGAAAAACAGTGGTTTACTGAATATATTCAACCATGCACACAATCTTTTAATTGATATAGGAAGCCTTACCTTGGAAAAAAAAGAGACATTCTGGGCAAATCGTTTGTTTTGTTAAACATATTGTTGAATCTTATTTTCGTTGTCGTTGTTTCCGTTGTTTTTTTAAAATACTTGTGTGCAGTCCGACCTCTTATATGCTTTGGTCTTTATATGTGTGGCATTCTGAAAAGATGATACACACCCTCTCGCTCTCAGAAAGCCCCGACACGTCTCTCCTGGGCGGCTTTTCACCCGGTTCCAGAAGAAGCATCAGAGCGGGGCCTCCAGGTGTGCGAGGTGTCGAGCTGTTCCCAGAGTCTTCCCGGATCCATCTTGTTCTACCAAAAAAACAACAACAGCAAAGACACAGACGTTACTGTCTGTTGAATGAAACAAGTAGCATTATTTTCCAGTTTGCCACTCTTAGATGTAAATATTCTGGTACTTCCCAATATCCAGCACACACACACATACACACACTGGCTAGTGCTAATTGGTAGCTAGCTCAGGAAAGTAAAACATTCAGCTGTACTTGTTCACACTCCACTGACAGACGGCATAATATGTCAGCCTTTTTTAGCAGTTTACAGAACAAACGGTGGGATTCCCATTGAACTGCTTTAATGAAAGTCGGTCAGCAGAAAGTGTATGCGACCCAGAGAGGTCTGCTTTTGAATGGTGTATTCTGTTCAAACTGTATATTTTTCGTATTTTTTTGCTGCATAAGTCTGCACTCCCATTAGCTAGACGTATGGCGGGACAGTCTGCCTTTATAAAAGGTGCCTAAAGCCTGATCTAGTGCGCGGATTGGCCCTCACTCAGAGGCACGCTCGTATAAAGCAGGGTCGGAGGAAGAGTTCGAGGTTCTGTTGGTTGACTCCATGTACCAGTATTCAAAGTCAAAAGAGGAGATTTTCATTTTTTCTTACAGACCTGGCATTGCATACTTTATTTGTGTGTATTGTTCTCTACTTTATTTTTGTGTTTCTTTTTGTTTCTGAATTTGATCAGACTGGGCAGCTTTCTTTTATGACACGAGCTGACTCTTTTTGACTTTAGAAAAACCTATTGTAGAGAAAATGTTTTTTCTATAATATAAAAAGGAAACTCTGACATTGATATTGGTACTGTCATTTTTTTCACTTCTGTTTCAGGAAAAAAAAACAATACATATTTTTTAGCTCACCTCTTGGGTAATGATTACTAAGAAATTCAAAATGTACAAAAAATTACCACTCACTTTTAGTGACTTTAAGATGCCTTTAACCTCTCCATTCCATCTCATCTCTAGAGTTTTCTATCTTTGTGTAGTATATTAATGCTATTTTAAACAAAAGGTCTACAAATATCTAAAGGTCACTTGGCATTCTTTTCTTTTTTTACTTGTGTGTGTATAGGATGACTTCCTTACATTTAAGAGGCATGTAAAAAGGAGCTCAGTATATTTCTGTCTGTTTATATCGCTTCCCTTTTTGTATCCTTTGTAATTGTACATGTTGCGTTGTATGCTAACGGAGAGCGCAAAATAAAGAGAGGAGAGACAGCAGTGAAGGCGGCCTCCACTCTTCTCTCTCCCTGTATGTATTTCCATTTATTCTGTTTTTTTTCTTTCTTTCTTAGCAAGTACTTTCAAAGAACTCTGTACATTTTAACATAAAATGAAAATAAATTATGTTGAGCCATTCATGTTTTCGTTGAGATTTTTACAGTTCCATCTTAGTCAATTCAACCAATAAAATAGTATCAGTACATAGATGCTTTATGCTTAGCCCTTGTGCCTCACTAGGGACATTTGGCTTCTTATTTTTCAGTATTCAGATATATTAATGCTAACACAAATGCTGGAAATGCTACTCCTATAATAAGTCAATAAAATGCAGACACTAAGAGTCTTCACTTTTCTTTTCTTTTATTCCCTGTAACAAATCTGTCCACATCTTTGATCCAACAGCTAGAGGGTAAAATACATCTCGAACCCTATGTGCTTTTTAATATCAGGATAAATGCCTCCCTTGTTTCCACTACACACGTATCTTTGACGTCATCCGAGCACTTCGTCTACATAAAATAATTATAGTTTTGGGTGGTTTTTTTCCACTTAAAAAATAATATAACATAAAAAGGTAAAGGTAAACCAACTGGCAAAAAAGGCTCTGAAATTATGGAAATGAATAAACATTTAGTACATATGGTCAGTTTTAGGAGGAAGACATTTTTGACCTTTCGAGGCTGTGGTTTCCAACCTTTTACCCTGATGGACCCCTTTTTTATTATTGACTCAACTGACCTGGCGACATGTTTTAAGGATATTTATTTTCCCATCAAATTAAATAACAACAGTACAGAACAACTTATACACTGTACAATTCAACCAAAGAGTGAACACATTAACCGCAGGAAGTTTGGGTAAAATAAAATACAGACCCCTTATAAAGCTTTGGCGACCCCTAGTGGGAGTTCGGGACCCCCAGGATTGGGAACCAGGTATGTTAAGGTTAAGGTAAATCAATCAATGTTTATTTATGTAGCCCAATATCACAAATGTTACATTTGTCTCAGTGGACTTCACAGTTTGTACAGAATATCAGTATGAGAATACGACACCCTCTGTCCTTAGACCCTCACAGCGTACAAGGAAACACTTCCGGAGAAAACCCACAGTTTAAAGGGAACATGGGAGAAACCTCAGGGAGAGCAACAGAGGAGGGATCCCTCTCCCAGGACGGACAGACGTGCAATAGATGCCGTGTGTAAATCGAAGAGATAATACATTTTACAGCATAGGTAGACCAAATGTTTGGAAATGCATGTGTCTATAATAAGAAGATGTAAAGTCCTCTGTTCTCATTTTTGTTCTGATGTCTGTGCTCTCTCAACATTTACTGTGAGGAAATGTTCACTTATTGACACTGGGGGTGGATTGTTTGCATGTGTGTGGAAACTTTGCTTTAAGGGTGTGAACCAAACATGGAAAAAAGGAGAGACTGCAGACGAGGAGACTTTAATCATTTTGCACCTAGTTTGAATTAATCTGTAAAATCTTTGAATATTTTTTAAACAATCAAACAGGGCTTAAATTATTGATCTTTTGCTGCCTCTTAAAGAAAATGTTCATTCATACTTATTTACATTTTAAATACACAGCGGAATTGTCTGGATCCATTACCATTTTTTGGATCTAATATTTTTTTTTAAATACTAATGTGATTATATGTTAATTGTATCTACCAAGTCAATAATAGATAGGCTACAGATTTGTAAGAACACTGAAAAAGAAACAGAAAATCTAGAAAAAACACATGTTTCCCCCTTCATAATTTCAGAGAGTACATGTTTTATTTACAGTTTGGAATAAATCAAAGACATAAGCTTTAATAGCAGGGTAGTACTCTTCAGTACCTGTGTCTATTTGTTTGATGGGAAGAAACTTCACAAGATGAAATCTGATACTGGAAACAAAATGTCAGACCAGCTACATCTCAGAGCCAATCAGCGTGCAGCTTTACTGGTGTTTACCGTTGCCCTCCCTCCATCGTCCAAGTCACGAGTCACCAGCTTCCGTATTTTCGACCAATGATTCTACTTGGTAGGCGGGATTTCAAACTCTCCAGGCATTCTGATTGGTTCCTTGCACTCTCTCTACCAGTCCTCCCAACGAGAGCAGCTCCACCTAACGGGAAGCAACGACGTCTGCTTAATCTTTCATTGGGGAAAAAGGGTGGAAAGGCGAGACGAAAACGTACAAAATCGTCCCTGGTAAGTCCTCTTAACATATTGAATCACTCGAGTGACAAGTGGTGATTTTTCAGTGAGGACAGCATCGGTTTTCCCATGTATTTTCATCTATTTTACCTGGTGACGGGGCTTTTCCTCTGTCATGAGACTGAGGCAGGAGGAGGGTCAGATGTAGCATCTTGTGTGGAGGCCTCCAACTGCTATAAAGATAGCTAGCTAGGTGCTCAGTTTAATGTTAACTCATAATGTTTAATTGCAGATTTAAATACGTGTAAAAGCAATGTGTTCAGGTTTTTGTAGCTCCAAGTTATATTGGGTGCGAACTCGATATGTTGCAGCATATTTAATGAATATTCCGGTGTCATATTTCAGAGACACTTTAATTAAGTTAAGTAAAGCAACCGTTTTTTAACCGTTTACTAGTATTTGTAATTTCCGTTTGTGTAACGTTAAATGTCCTCCGAACTCAAATGTGAAGACAAGTCCTTAATTGGTTTTATTGTTTAGCTATAAAGTGACTTTTCCTTATTATTATATATGATTTAGTCTTTATGACTAGTGTTTGTTCTAGAATTGTATTCAATGACAAAAATAGAAGTTCTGCTGGTGCCAAAGAAAATAGTGCTATATCTCAGAAACTACAAGAAGCCAAATCAAATATTGAGTAGGAACTAATAACAAGTTAAATATCAAATATTAAGCACACATGTAGTTTAAAAAATAGATGTTGTAAGGAGACATTTCAAAGACACAGCCTAAGTGTGATATATATTTGTTGAACCATGTTGAGAAATGTCAAAGTTAGATCCTTATTCAAATTTAGAGCAATCACACAGCAGTTGAAGAATATTTCTTTAACATAGTTCATACTGTGTAGTTTTTAGTAAACTCCTCTAAATTAATACCTTAAATCCCCTTTAAATTGATCCACAACAGTAAGAGACATGTTTAAAGGTTCACAGGAAGCAGTCATCCACATGTTGCTGTGCATGAGCGTGCACACCCTGTTAGTGTAACTTATTGATACTGTTGAAATATAAAGTATGTCTTTTTAATCTATTAGCTATCAAATTGATATGTAGTGTCGAATGCAGACTTAATTTATGTATCTAGTTATGTACATATCTAATATCTAACTATATAATCAACGTGCACATCTGCTCATGAAGAAGGCTCATTGTCTGTCATCCAGACCTGCTTTCATCAATGTGTCATGTGAGAGGAGGAAGGGCATGGACTCTCTGTTTTCACTGTTTCATTCATTCCATGTTGTTGTTGTTAAACTTTAAACGGGTTAAATGTTGTTGTTTGAAAGCTTATTATGAAAATGTACCTACATATAAATCATTTGATGATATGTAAATAACAAGTGTACTTTGTATTGATTGATGTATTGCTCTGTATACAGCAGTTATCCTTTCATCACATTGATGATAGGTCTTTGAACTGCTTCAGGTTCATTCAACGTGTTTATATTCAAAGTCAAACTTGTATATTTTCTGAAATGATTGATCAAAGTGTCTGATTTGATAAAGAAATACATCAAACATGATTAGCAATACTTCTTTGCGATGGTTATTTGTTATTAGTTTTGACCTTTTGTTTATTTTGGTGATTATGTTTATCAAATTGACAGAATGTACTTATTGTTTAAATTTTTTTATTGACCTTAAATATATACTAAACATTCAAGTGGTTCTTAGGGCTTTCTCAATTAATCGTATTTTAATCGCAATTACGATTTTGGCTTGCAACGATTATGAAAACAACATCATTATTATTTTTTAAACATTATTTTATTGGTTTTTCAGTTGAGTTATACTTAAAGTTCAGGGTAATCAACTGTTAAAAACATACTGTTCATCTTTTTTTTCAATAAATAGATGTTTTCAAAGTAAATGGATAATCGTTTTTAATAATCGTGATATCAATTATTAACCCAAATAATCGAGATTATGATTTTTGCCATAATCGAGCAGCCGTACTGGTTCTTTGTCATTATTTAATAAAAGCTCAGCATCCAAATAACCACAATTAAACCTAAAAGCACTTTCTTACAAAGTATTAAACTTCCTCTCCTCATCTCATTTGAAATGTTTGAGTTTTCTCTTTTGACCTCCTTCCCGTCAGCCTCCAGCCAAAATGATCCACAGCCTGTTCCTCATCAACTCCTCGGGGGACATTTTCCTGGAGAAGCACTGGAAGAGCGTGGTCAGCCGCTCCGTGTGCGACTACTTCTTCGAGGCCCAGGAACGAGCCACCGAGCCGGAGAACGTCCCTCCGGTGATCCCCACGCCGCACCACTACCTGATCAGTGTGCTCAGGCATCGGATCTACTTTGTGGCCGTCATCCAGAGCGAGGTGCCGCCGCTGTTCGTCATCGAGTTCCTGCACAGAGTCGTCGACACCTTCCAGGTTCCCGTTCATTTTCCAGTAGCTGTTTAGTTTAAATGACATATATCTGACTTTCATACCCAGTAGTAGTTTTACTCTGCAATGAAAATAGACTTGAATCTAAGTCTAATCCAAAATACTTTTTTTGTCCTCAGGATTATTTTGGAGTGTGTACAGAGGCTGCGATTAAGGACAACGTGGTCGTGGTGTATGAACTCCTGGAGGAGATGCTGGATAACGGCTTCCCGCTGGCCACAGAGTCCAACATCCTCAAAGAGCTCATCAAGCCCCCCACCATCCTCCGCACAATGGTCAACACCATCACAGGTACAATCCGTTGGATGACTGCATTTCAGATTCAGAAAAGCTTTTCCAAAACAGTCGTAAACTTATTTGCATGGGTTTTGCATTATTTGTATTCAATCTGACAATGTCTATGTTACCACCTGGTTTGACTGTTCAGCAGATTGAATGAACGTCATCAGCCTGCTACACAAACAGTAGCTTTTATTCTCTCTTGATCATGCTGATCACAGACAGGTGGAATCAATCCCATCCAAAAGTCTGTATTAGCGCAGATATTATTCTGTGTGATGTGCTTGTTTTTTTTTACCTTTGGTGAACGTGTGTTTTTCAGGCAGCACTAACGTCGGAGAGCAGCTCCCCACAGGCCAGCTGTCGGTGGTGCCATGGCGACGCACCGGAGTCAAATACACCAACAACGAGGCCTACTTTGACGTGGTGGAGGAGATCGATGCTATCATCGATAAATCAGGTACGGCTCTGAACAAACACGTCAGGATATGCAATACTTTGCCTCGTGTTTATTTCTCACATTGACTTCCACCCTCCTCCTCAGGCTCCACCATTACAGCAGAAATTCAGGGAGTTATCGATGCCTGTGTGAAAATGACAGGCATGCCCGACCTCACGCTGTCATTCATGGTGAGTGTCCTCTTATCATCAGAGTCTTTGTATAAATTCAACACATTTACAAACTCACGATCAGACACATGATTGACATTTGATAAATACACATGTTATTACAGTTTAAATCCAGAGACGATGACATGTATTGCTGGGATGATCACAATACGTTCTCTCAAGACTCAGCTGATTTGTTTTATTTTAATATCAGTTTATTATGATGTTATCTAAATGATTTGATGTTGCACAATACGTCCACATTTACAAAGCACTATGCAAAAGCAATGGGATGATGTTTCCAGTATGCACATATTATCTTACCTACCCCTTAACCAACCGTGCCCTCTCCCAGAATCCTCGGCTGCTGGATGACGTCAGCTTTCACCCGTGTGTTCGGTTCAAGCGTTGGGAAGCTGAGCGCATCCTCTCCTTCATCCCCCCCGATGGAAACTTCCGTCTGCTCTCGTACCACGTCAGCTCCCAGAAGTCAGTGATTTTCACACCCTTCAGCATAATTATAGTCCTTGCTTTTTAGTAGTAGTTGCTCCAATATTAGAATATCATAAAAATGTAAACAACACATATGACTGGAGTGTGATTGCAGTTGTTTGTTGTCCTCGTCTCCTCCAGCCTGGTGGCCATCCCGGTGTACGTGAAGCACAACATCAGCTTCAGAGAGGGCAGCTCTCAGGGCCGCTTCGACCTGACTCTGGGCCCCAAGCAGACCATGGGCAAGTCGGTGGAGGCGGTGCTCGTCAGCAGCCAGCTGCCCCGCGGCGTCCTGACCGCAAACCTCAACCCCTCCCAGGGAACATACACCTTCGACCCCGTCACCAAGGTACTGAGGAACTGCTTCTGAGTGTGTGTTTATACGCCTAAAGGAAGGACGAAGGGAACGTGTGTATGAACAGGAAGGTGCAGACGTCTCAAAAAGCCTGTGACGAATGCTTTCTCCCTAGCTCTGTCATTAAGTCAGAATATGGGACCGTTCCTCAATCGTCAAAGTCAACTTTATTGTTACTTTCAGTTTGTGTGTACAGACAAGAGAGATCGAAATACCGTTTCCCACAATCCCAGATACAAAAAATACATATATATAGAAATATATATACACAATCCACAGACACATTTATACTAATTGTCGAAAAATTCTGTTTTACAATACCGCTCCAGGACTAAAAAGGCAACCATTTGATTTGATGCATATTTTCTCCAAGTTGTAGTGTTCTCATACTGCCATTTGAATGTTGTCTTTATTTTCGTCCAGATGTTGACATGGGATGTTGGAAAGATCAACCCACAGAAGCTCCCCAGCCTGAAGGGCACCATGAGTCTGCAGGCCGGGGCCTCCAAACCCGACGAGAACCCCACCATCAACATCCAGCTGAAGATCCAACAGATGGCCATCTCAGGTACACACACACACACACAGACACACACACACACACACACACACACACACACACACACACACACACACACAGACAGAAATATTTGTCATTATTGAGATTAGAAACCAGTATCCATGTTGTTTCAGAGAGTTAGATTACTACGGGAAGAGTAACACATTCGATGTGTTCAAGGCCAGGCATTGGAATATTAGTTAGTCATTAGTTTAATAAGGTGGAATAAAGTATAAACATGATCACATAAAAACAACAAACCGTAGAAAAGACATACATGTATCACAAGTAGTACACAATATAAAATATACATTAAAATGTTCTATAAATACTGCAGCAACAGAAATATAGATGTATACTACAGTAGCAGAGACATCTGTACATAGGATGTTATATACATACATATTGTAACCAATAATGAATTGTGATTACACGCTGAATACCATACATGAGGATCATTTAACCTCAGCCCCCCCCACATGAGAAGCTTCCTTCACATCAGCTGATAACCACCTGACTGTCAGCATGTGACACTGTGGCCACTAGAGGGGGCCAAAGGCATGAATACACCTCACATGACCTCAAAGTACTCTATGAGCAGGTTCTGATACTCATGATTACTACTTTTATTCATTCATTGTTTTCACTTTATGTGATTTGCATAAAAAAACCGTTAGGATATGCAAAGCCATATTGCTAACAAACCTTTGCTAAACAAATGATTTCACAACATGGAAAGCAATAGGAAAAGCATGCATTTAGTGCAATTAGTATATCGTTTTCTGAGTTTAAAAAAGAATTACTTCAATTGAGGCAATCAAAGGTGTGATATGCAGCCGGATCCTACTCCATCTGGCATAGGTTGCATCCCGCCAAAATTGCGCAATAATGAAACTATTTTGAGTGTACCTTGAACATATGCATGCCTTGTTAAACCTGAACATGCATTCACTATTTATATATACATTTGATGCATTTGTTTTTCCATATAGTAGGGACACAGAAACCAAAATAAAGTCTAATAGAGAGGCGAAGTCCCGCCCATCTACTTCCGCCCCATGGGACCTTATTTCAGAAAACTGATGTATTGAAGTCGATGGAGAGAGAAAGATTATCCTTCGATCCCGTTTGAATTGTGCCACGAATTACACAGATGATGTTTGTCAATCTTAAAAAATAATTTCCACGTCAAAAAAGTCACAGTTTGTCGTAAAACTGTTGAAATATAAGACTATGAAAAATACGCAACTAGAAAGACTACAAATCCCAGAGTCCCGGTCCCGCATGCTGGCTCTTACGGAACCGACTAACTCCCCTTGTGTGTACGTACAGCTCTCAACGCGCCAGTGATTTTCACCTCGTTTAATACTTTTCGCCTCATTCTGAAAGAAAGAAGTGAGATGTTTCAACGTGACGGCCGTCTTGGTGTGTGGTGCGAGACGGGAGATGTAGTTCATTGAGCGTCTCACACAAAGAAAGTGTTACTTCACAGTTTTACGACACATTTAAATATTTTGCACAATTATCTTTTAAATCGACAAACATCATATGTGTAATTTGTGGCACAATTCAAACGGGATCGAAGGAAACATTTTCTCTCCCCATTGACTTCAATACATCATTTTTCCGAAATAAGGTCCCATGGAGCTCCCCCGGAAAGGGAGGGACTTCGCCTCTCTACCAAGATTCTGAAAATGCCTTCAGAACAGTCATGTGTGCTAAACAACCCTCTGGTGTTTTACTTTGATATATTTCCAAGAAAATGTGATATTTCCCAGTGGAGGAAAAACCTAATAAAGACATCTCTGTAGTTGTTTAAAAAAATAAATCGCATATCTCTGGTAAATCCAAAATGAGCCACCCGCCATCCTTAAACATTCAAACTTGTCCAGTAAGTGCAAATCATTTTGTATTGAGAAATGTAAATGGGTAAACTATATTTGATATCCTCCTGCAGGGCTGAAGGTGAACCGACTGGACATGTACGGTGAGAAGTACAAACCTTTCAAAGGCATCAAATACATGACGAAGGCTGGCAAGTTCCAGGTGCGAACATGAAGACTGCTGCTCTGTGACTACTGGACCAAACCACCAGGAGACTGACGGGGGGGGTGTGATGGGGGAGTTGGTACATTCCCTGTGTATATGCATTTCAGGATTTGACAGATGGGAGGCTCCATGTAGCAGCTAAGATGGACCGTTGCTCAAAGTCTGTTGAAGTGAAAGTGCTTTAAGTAGTGAGTCAACATGAGATATAAACATTTCCATCGAACCCCGATCATCCTAATTTATACTTCTCTACTTTACCGCTTTTTTCCCCTGTTCATTTTTATCCTGAGCCCAAACCAAACCCAAGCAGTTACATGAGATGTTTGTTTTTTAATACAGGCTTCTTCAAGTTCAAACATTTCAAACTCTAACAAACAAACAGTGGTCCCTCTCTCTCTCTCTTTCTCTCTCTCTCTCTCTCTCTCTTTCTCTCTCTCTCTCTCTCTCTCTCTAGTCTCCTCTCTATTTCTCTCTCTCTTACCCTCTCCTCTCTCTCTCTCTCTCTCTCTCTTTCTCTCTCTCTTCCCCCCTCCTCTCTCTCTCTCTCTCTCTCTCCGTCTGTCTCTCTCTTCCCACCCGTCCCTCTCTCTCTATTTCTCTCTCTCTCTCCCCTCCTCTCTCTCTCTCCCCCTCCTCTCCTCTCTCTCCTCCCGATCTGATGCTGTTCTGTTATGGCTGTAAGTATCAGGTTTAAAAGGCCTTAAATTAAAGGATTTTATTTATGGCATGTTCCTGGGGATAAATGCGTGTACACTCCAAAAAAAGATATATTGGACCAATAGAATATCAAAATAGAGCCACCCCTTTCATTCATTGAGAAATCATGAGGTTAATAGTATGACAGAAGACTAGTATTTTCTGTACGATTAATTAATAGCAGTGTGTTTGTGTATAAATAAATCATGAAATACACAAAGTATTTGACTTTAAAGTCTAATGAAACTGCTGAAGAGACACATTTATATATACAATTACAGAAATCTAATTTGTACATTCAGTTTACCAATGTGTTTCCACTGGTGCTCAATGATGTCATTTTGTTGCACCTATTCTTCCTCACTGTTATATCTTTCATCTGACAGCGCAGTTGGCCCCACCTACTGCTTATCTCCACAGACCAACAGTTTGTGGATTAAGAACCATAACAAGTAGATGTATTCAAAGAAAATACATTATTCGCCGATTTTAAGGACATTTGGAAATGTTGATACATAATAATGGAAACCTGACCATTGTCTGACAACACATTATAGTACGTCAAACTAAGTCAAGACACTAGTTGTATTTGATTGGGTGGATATGCTGTAACAGCGAATACTGTAAGCTCCTTCCTATAAATCATTCGGACACTTCTAGTCACATGATCTTGCTTTATTTCACCCAAAAACGTGCTCCTTATTTTGTATATGTTTCTATGTTACTTGTTTGCAACCCACCAATGAAACTTTGAAATATTTCTCATCGGCCTGTCCTTTACATTTGACTGATTCCTTTTGTGTTTGCTTTTGTGTTTGTTGCGTTACTGTAATGATGAGTCTGCCGCACTGGAGTCAGAACACTGAAATATGAGGTCTTTGTCCGTCCTCCCATCACACACTTTCACATCTGCCGGTTCTCACATCTCCTTTAACGCGAGTGAGACTGTTAGAGCTGTTTGTTACCATGCCGATTTCTGGGAGATCTTCAGGTACACCTGTGTTATTCTATTATTTATTAAACAAAACAAAATGGCTACTTTCTAGAGTAATGTCTTGTGTGTCTTACTGTCATACAACCTGAATGAAAAGCTTTAATTCTACATTTTTTGTATTGAACCACATTAAGATAATATCAGTTCTTGTCCTCAACAAATAGAGATATGTGGCCGTTAGAAATAGTTTAGATCAGGGGTGTCAAACTCAATTTCATCACGGGCCACATTCACATTATGGTTGCACTCAAAGGGCCGGTTGTAACTTTAAGACTATATAAAAATACATATATAAATATTTAATATATATAAAATAATGTATTATATTACATTATTGCCTCTGCATTGGATTATTGTCGGATAAGGTAATAACTTCATAATTAACTACGTCTGGAAGCAGAAGTCTAGGGCAAATAATCGCAAGTCTCTTCATTGAAATTGTCACAAAATTATTTAAAAAGAAAAGCCACATTTTGAAAAAAAGTAACATTAAAAACAATTCTGAGGAAAAAGTCAAATTTGAGATGCATTGTGGGACATGTAGTTTATGGGCAACGTGCTTCTGTATTGATTGATTGATTGATTGATTGATTGATTGAAACGTTTATTAACAGCTTGTATATTGGGTACAGTACAGTACAGCTCAAAACATACAATTGTTAAGGAGATGCAGACCAGAGAAAGACTTTCGTCTTGTTTACATCAGGGTCCCCCATTTCCAATTCATCATGTCATTTAAGACATACAAGACATATTTGACATACAGATGGCTTATTTACAATTTACATACAGGTGGTTTTTTACATACAGATTGCTTATTTACAATTTTCATTTTAGATTTCGTTCTAATACATCCTAACCGGACATTTAAGACATACTGTAAATAGGCATGTAACCGTATTATAAACATATTATATTCTTTGCAAGCTCTTGTGGGGCCACAGAAAATGAAGTCGCGGGCCGGATTTGGCCCCCGGGTCTTGAGTTTGACACCCCTGTTTTAGATCCTGTGAATTTGGTGCTTAAAACTCTGGTCCAAATGATATCCCAAACATATTTTAATAATGAGCTGGTACCTCAGAAGAAATGTTGACGGTTTTGCATTTTGTGTTTGCAGGATTTTGTTTGTGTGTTTGTTTAACAGCCTCCAATGGAGTGTTAAAATGGTGTAAAAATAAAGATTGATGTGTTATAACTGAGTGATGATAACACTTATTATTGAATGTGGCTCATACTGGGAAATTATATATTGTGTTGCCTTTCATGAATTGCTTTGGAAACTATCACTTTTCTTAGTTTTAGTTCTCAATGTTTGAAACAACATTTTAGATTTATGTCAATTTTATTGTGTATTTTTTCAATTTTCCAGAAAAGACTCATGTCTGGGTGTTAACATCTGAGAATATCTGATTTACATATCTGATATTCCAAGCATTAACGAGTAAAACCACACAAATTGTTTATACTTCGTTCTCACTCTTTGACTTCATTTACTGAAAACTGCCGGACCCAGCAAGGACTCATTGGAGCTTCTGCATCTGATTACATTTGCCACCATACTTTCAAAAATACCTTTTAAAACAAAGTGGATCAATGACTGACTAAGCATTGGTCACTAGTGCAAACTTGAAAGGCAGATTACTTTGAATACATCATTTTGAGATTATTTTGTCTGCTTTTACCCAAAGAATTTCAATGCATTAACTTTGGAAAAAAGGTTTGCTATATTGTTATGAATTGACAAGATTATCTCAAAACTATGAGACTGTTTTTTTTTTTTAATGTAATCTCATGCTGAATAATTTAGTTACAAGAAACGCTAATTGCCCGATTTAAAATAGTGCTTGCTTCTTTGGGAAGATGTAAGGGTATATCCATCAAATCCTCTTATCGATTAGTTGACCAAATTAAGAGTGATGGAGGATAAAGAATTATAAAATCGTTCAGAAATGAATATGTGTATTTGTTTTGTCGCTGTCACTTTCCTACTTTCCCCTATGACCTGCATAACTGCTCTCCTGCCGCTGAGCACGGTGTGGATCAGACCTCACTTTCCTAAAGGCAGCTGAGATACCTGAGCTCTGTCAGCCGGGGTCACTGCAGCCCTTCATCTGAACAGAGCATCCCATAATGTGTGCAGGACAGGAACCTAAAGTATCCTCACCCCTCCCTCATGATGTCACAACATCTGGTCCAAATCCCCCCTCTCTGTATGACGCCCCCCCCCCCCAAAAAAACATCTCCTTGCTCCAGCTGGCTGGACTCCACTCCATAATTTCCTGATCACTTTAACCCCTCCTAAATATACAGCCCCTCTCTCTCTGTGTATCAGTGGCTTTAAGTCAGATTTATGTCATTAGGCTACAACTTTTCTCCCTCTCCCCTTCTTTGCACACGTTGACGTTGTTTTGCTTCTTCTTTTTTGTTGTTGTTGTTGTTGTTGTTGCTATATCTTTGAATGCAAGCTTTGGTTTGTTGATGTCTTTTTTGAATCCTTTCTGTTATTTTTTGCAAACGCGTTTAAAGGCTGCAGAGGAATATCGAAACATTTGAGGACTCAATCATCGCGACGGGTGGTACGTTGTCTCTTTAAATTGTTTATATTATGCATTTTAATCCAATGCAAAAGTAAGTTAACTCACTTTGATGTGTTCATTTGCAGACATGTGAGAAACACAAGTTTCTAAGGTGCATTATTTAGTTACAATTCATACATGAAACAGCTGCGTAAACATTAATGAATGCTTTGACAAAGGGCCGTAATCTACCACTGATTGCAGGTCTCTGAAACACAGGCTGCCCCGTGGATGTAAAATGTAGTGTGTATTCGCACCCGGGTAAAGTGCAGTTTCTGTCACCTCACAGCAATCAGCCTACTCACAGCCTCACGTGCTAATATGTGTTTGTGTATCCTGATGCAGATACTGTGTGCATTATCTTAATTTAAATCTATGGATGCCTGTTAGCTTTTATCTGATTGCTCTGAGGTTGGGCTGGTCACGTCAAAAACACGTGGGTTTACAGTAACAGTCACAACAGAGGCACGCACGAGCTCATTTACAGAGCTGGACGTTTTGATTAGACCACGTGCGGACGGAGCTGGCAGAGCGCGTGCTGCCTTGGCACTGTCTGCAGTTAAACACCTGAGCTGAGATATGGAAGGAAACAGGAACATATTTAAAGTCTCACATTTATGTCATTTAAGGCATTGTTTCCTTTTTATTATTTTAGGTTTCTACTTGTTTAGTGGACATTTCCTAACTTTACCTGTATGTTTACCCGAATCCATGCTTCTCTGCCACGGTGGAACTTGCTTCAACTTTGCAGCAAATACGTCAAACTATAACTTACACCATGGACCCTCATTTGGTAAGGTTTTTGTCCTGAACTAAGACGTTTAGTACCATCATTTATACTTAATTGTGCAAAATGATTTTGTGGTGAGGAAACAATTGTTGCTATTCTGCTAAAACTAAATTTGTAAGCCTAGGCCGTGTGCAAGCTAGCAAAACTGCTAACAAGCTAAAAGCTCAAATTATTTATTTTAGTCGGTACATTTCAGTATTTGGGGTATTTGTTTTAAATTACTTATCCTAGAGTTTTGGGGAAGTTACTTGTCTTTGAATAAGTATTTTTCCTTTACAAGCTAATTAGCCACATGTCAGAAATGCATTTTAATTCTGACAATAAACTCAAATAAACCCTTCATCTCAAAACTAAGAATGAAAACTCAAAATTCTTAGTTTTACATCAACATTCTTACTTTTTAACTCAGTATTC